AATTCATTTTCTCATTTGTTCATTCATGCATTTATTTACCAACTGTGCATTGTCAACTGTGAACCAGATGGTGTGCAGAGCACTGGAGTTACAAAGACTAGTCAGATACATTCCTGCCCTCACACAGCTCATAGTTCAGAGTGGAGAAAACACACTACTGTAAACCAATGTGACCACTGCTGTAATAGTCATGCAAGGTGTTGGGGCTTGGGAGAAAGGCCAGATAGGAAGCACCCAACTTTGAGGAGGGCCAATCAAAGCTAACTTAGTTTTCACTGGAGTTTCTGAAGGAAAGCGTAGTTGTAATCCAAGAAATGCACCTGGGGAACAAGGGGCATTGCAGGAAGAGGGTGATGAAAGTGCAGTCAGTTTGGTGCAAATCTGCCTAAAAGATCAGGAAAGAGCAATTAGTTCAATAAATAGAAGGGGCTTTGGCCCCCTTTTCAGGCTTTTCAGAGCAACAGTGACTGGACCCAGTGCCTCTGGGAGGGGGTGGGTCTGAGTACCCTACTGACCTCCTAGGTAGCACTAGTAGAAGGGCCATCTACGAGGATGCAGAATGGAGCAGGGCAGCCTCTGCCTCCCATGTGCTGGTACCATTACCAAGCCCCCTTCTCTCACAGTCATGGAGACCCCTGTGGACACCAATGTCAGCTCTGCTGCCAGGGATCACTCTCTCAGCCCACAGCCGCCACATGCTGAGGGCTGGGTGGCTGCCAGAGCACCCTATTAGCTCACAGTCCATGGGAGACTGCCCAGTTAGTAGCTCTTCTGGGCCATATTCTGTGCACAGACAGGTGGCGCTCTTCTTTATGAGCATTGTCAGTTCTATGTTCTGTGGACATTTGGGCAAGATCCAATCAGGTGCTGTCACACATGCTGTCTCAGTTGTAAATGCTGCTGGGATTTCAGTTGGAACTGAATTAGCCTCTTCTTGTGACACACATTAATGTCTTGGGCCTTTGCAGGCAAGACTGTGAAACATAGGGGGCTAATATTGAGAAAAGGAATCCTCACCTTGATGCTGTGTTGCTTTCCTTGTTGGACCATCTTTGTCAATCCCAGGTGCACCCTCCTGCTCTTACAACAAGATGCTGAAGGTTCAGGATAGCCCACATGCATGTGATGATTTTCATTCAGAGCAGTTTCATTCCTGCCCCGCTGGCAGCATTTCTATTACAGCTGCAGACAAGATATCTACAAGTTCAGGGATCAAGTCTCAGGTTATTCCTGGAATTATAACCATGTCAGCAACATGGATGGGCCTGAGTGCTCTCTTGCTGTATGTCCTCAAACTTGGAGTGGCAGGTTCTGCCTGGGCCAATACCACTTCCAAGTTTGTCCTCTGCTTGTGGTGGGGGAAAACAAATTCACATAGATCCATGAGGATGTTGGACCTAGCAGGGCTCCTGCAGCCAGCTGGCTAGTCCTTGTATGTTCATTGTGTGCATTGGTGGTGTCCTTGGAGAAGAGGACCTTCCTTGTAGGACTGATTAATGTGACAGCTCAGAATGGAGGCCATCATTCCCCACGTGTGGTCCACTGCCCTCTGCGGTCCAAGTGGTGCCCTTTGGCTTTGGCGTGGCAGCCTGTGTCCACATGGATAGTTCTCTCAGAGCAGGGGATACCGGGCAGGCATGACTCCTGCATCACTGTTCCATGTGCAGTGTATGCACAATGCAGGGATGTTTCACTTGCAATTTTGCAGTATGTAGCTGCCTTTGTATTCATCAGTGTCAAAGATATTATTCCCAAGTGAGTCAAGAGATTCATCTACTTGATGTACTTGCAGGCACCTCTGGTGTAATCCTGAGAGAAACAAGGAACATCAGAGTGGTACAATCCTGAATGACATTAGTTATTATGCTTTTGGTTTTCTCACTGGAGTATGTCTGATGTTTGCTGTTAAGCTTGGGAGAACAGTCTTTGGTCTGAACTGATAGTTTATATCTTCTTTCAAGCCCTTTTTTATTTAGTGTACATGTTGAGGACAGTCAAGTGCACTTGAAGAACAGGTACAGGTTCAAGCTGGACTAAAGGGAGAAAAGAGACCAAACCTACCCCAAAGCCCTACTATCCTGGAGAGAGAAGTAACCAATCTGTTATCATCAAATCAGAGAGCCAGACAAGCCAACTAATGGAAGAAAACACCCAGTACATATTATCCTCCATTGGGGATGTTTTCTATCGTTGGTTTTCTATGGCAGAATGGCTTTATCTGTTTCTGTTGTTGTACTTCAAGCAGGAATTTTAGTACGAGTTTTCAATGACCATGGCTAAAATAAAAGAATTGTCACTAGTCTACAAACTGGTGATGATAATTATATGCCACATATTAAGCATGGAAAGTGACCTTTTTGTTTGAACAATGGCTGTATTTTCAACTATGGGTAGAAGAATATTAATGGTGTATCCTTGGCCATTTCAAGAATCTATACTATCCTAACGGAAATCAGGAAAGGCACTATCATTTGAAGCATAGTACCCCCCCCAATCTGTAGGTTCCAAGATACCCAGAGAAATCAGGAAAGGCGCTATCATTTTAAGCATAGTACTCCCCCCCAATCTGTAGGTTCCAAGATACCCAGTGGCTGCCGGAAATTGTGTATAGTAACAAAACTATGTATCGTACTAAATCCTATACATACCATGTCTTTTCTCTATATACATACCTATGACAAAGTTTAATTTATAAATTAGACATAGTAAGAGATAAACAGTAAATAATAATAGAAAAGAATAATTGCAACACTCTACTGTAAAAAAAAAAAAAAGTAGATGTGGTCTTGCCCTGTCAAAGTCTTATCGTATTATACTCACTTGTTTTCAGACTGCAGTTGACTGGGAGTATCTGAAACCATGGATAAAGGGAACTACTGTTAATTTTTCTCTGCTAACATTATCATGGTTTTTAAATATGTACCTTTGATTTTTCCTGTTGGAGATGTCTTTTATTTTTTCTTATATTGAATATCTTTCTTCTTCCAGCAAAGTGGCTTATTATTCTGTAACATATTATTGCTGACCTATTTTTGTGTTTTTCTGTTAATGTATTTAATCCTGTGAGTGTGTATATCAAGTTTCCTTTTAAACTTTATATCAGGTACTGCCACAGAAGCTTTTATAAAATTATAATTTTAAAAAGAGAGCATGTGTGAGAGAGGCCTTGAAGGTAGGAGCAGGGAAGGCAGGGATCAATGAAGGGATAAGACTGTGGTGCTCACATTGAGGGAGGCATTGATTTCGATGGAGGACTGTAATACACTCAGTTTGCATTTTAGAGAGATCACCCTGGTCTTGTGAAAGAAGGAGTGAGTGGCAAGAAGACAGGGTAGAAACACATAAATGTGCCAGTGAGGAGGCCGCAGCAAGGCCCACGGGCAAGTTTCTAAGGAGCTGAGGTTGGGACACAGCAGTAGGATTGAAGCAAGGGAAGTAGATTCAATATTTAAGAGGTAAAATGTAGGCAATTATTACTAGTTTAGAGGATTCAGGGAGAGGGAAGAATCTCGTGGAGTAGGAGATAATACTACCTCCTCAGAGGATGTAGCAATTGGGGAGCAAGATTTGCCATGGAAACAGGTCTTAAGTAAACTTATATGGATCTGTAATTTCTTTTTTTAAAAGAATTATTTATTCAACTTATTAATTATTTTTTTTTTTTTGGAGAGGTTTTTGCTATACAGCGCGTGCACTTGACAGAGAGACAGAAAGCGAGAAATCACACCCCGGCGGGATGGCCACATTGCAATCCCTTCTCCTCCATTCTCCTCTTGGGATTTTGGGCACGCACACACATGCGCCTGGTGTGAGTTTTAAGTCACCAGGTCCGGGACTAGAACTGTGGTTGACTACATGGGAGTCCAGCGACATAGCCATTATGCTGACTGCTGGTCCCAATTATTATTATTTTTCACAAGA